AGGAGGAACGTAGAGGCGTGGGAGGCGTTACCAGCGTCCGGGGTATGGCCACGTGCCCTCCCCGTGTCCTTGGCTCCTGTGCGTCCTCCCTCCTTCTCGCAAGCACAGGAGGCAGGAAGCACAAGCGATCATGGAACCGAACGCAGTCTTGACTATGACGCTTCTTCCCGTATGTCTGAGGATCTGAAGGCTTCCTCCTCCGCCAGATCTCTCACATACGCGAACTAGACAAGACAGTTTGCAGAAAAAAAAAAATATATCGAGTTGTTTAGACAGAGACTATGTGGGGAGGGTATTCCTTTTTGGTTTTGTTTATTATTGTTTATTTTTTTTTCCTTGGTAAGAAAATCGGCCGAGAAATATCTACATTATTCTCGTTTTTTCTTTATTTTACGGACACACGTACCTCGGATAGTATCGCCGAGGACTTGCTGCGAATGTCGACGCCCGTCCGTAGTTCCTTGAAGGGATTAGATCTAGCTTTCTTCGAAGAATTATGCAATGGCTTCGTTTTTTAAAGAATTATTTGCCTTAGATCCATTTCATTCCGCTCGAGTTAGGATTAAAAAATATCACTTCAAATAAATCAGATATCATGATTTTTTTAGGGAGAAAGAAAAAAAAAGTTACATAGCCAGTGGCTGTTGTTCTGACCTTCGCATTAGATCATCAATTCTAACAAATAATCTGTCTTGCACAAATCTCCCTTGATTGAAGTCTGCTTATCTCTTAATGAGTTTCTTCATGAATTAATCCGAACACATCCTATTTGTTTATACGATCCGGACACGCTATTAAAGATAAATGAGAAAGACTAATCAAACCTAATGCCTCTGAGTAAATTATCTGCCAAATGAAAAACAGATAAAAGTGACGCCAACACATTTCTCATTTCCAGACTGAAAACGGATGATATGAGTCAGGTAGCTGTTTATACTTATACTTATACATAAACTCGTCGTACATGAACATATGTGTATTATCAAAGATAGAATGAAGAGAATAAAAGATTATAATCATGTCAATTCTTTTGCATGTTATAAAAAAAAAAAAAAAAAAAACGCTGTAGAAATATGGATACACACGTATGGGCGCGTCCACGTAAATACGTCTATTTCTAAACAACTCAATAAATCTATTGGAAAAAAAAACGCGTGGTTTCAACCTTAACTATTACCTGAACGTGGAAAATAAAAAAAATGTGTACTTCCTCGAGTTCAAAAAAAGAAAGAAAGAAAGAAAAAAACAGAAAGAAAAGTTAAAAATTAATATTAATAATCCACGAAGGGACCAAAAGACCTGAATGAACGTCGTAGGTAAAGATATGAAAATAAAAGTCGTTTATATTTAAATCAGACAAAGGGAGAAAATACATTTCCCACTGGAGGCGTGGCCATCTTGAAGGGCCAAACATTTCCTTGAATGTTCAAAATAAAAGTACCTAGACGATAGGCAAAAACCGTAAAAAAGATGTCGTTTCACAAAAAGGCGAACAATATGTATTTCTAAAACGTAGAGAGGATAGTTGCGAATAACGAACGTGATTAGACTTTTCACCTTATCCTTCGCCATGTCTTTTAGCTGGAGGGGACGCGATCTTTCTCTCTCTCTTTCTTTCCTTCTCTCTCTCTTTCTTCCTTTCTCTTTTTTATCTCCCTCTCCCCTCCCTCTTTCTCTCTTTCTTCCTTTCTCTTTTATATCTCCCTCTCCCCTCTCTCTTTCTTTCTTTCCTTCTCTCTTTCTTTCTTCCTTTCTCTTTTTTATCTCTTCCCCCTTCCCCCCTCTCTCTCTCTTCCTCTCCTTAACTGTCCCTCCCTCCCTGTTTCCTTCCCTTTCTCCCCCCCCCCCTCTCTCTCTCTCTCTCTCTCTCTCTCTCTCTCCTCTCTCTCTCTCTCTCTCTCTCTCTCTCTCTCTCTCTCCCTCTCTCTCTCTCTCTCTCTCTCTTTCTCTCTCTCTCTCTCTCTCTCTCTCTCTCTCTCTCTCTCTCTCTTTCTCTCTCTCTCTCTCTCTCTCTCTCTCTCTCTCTCTCTCTCTCTCTCTCTCTTTCTCTCTCTCTCTCTTTCTCTCTCTCTTTCTCTTTTTATCTCTCTTTCGTTCTTATGTTTTTTTTCTCCCTCTATCTTCGTCTCCTTCTCTCTCTCTCTCTTTTATCCCTTCCTCCCTCCCTCCCTCCCTCCCCCTTCCTCCCCTTCCTCCCCCTTCCTCCCCTCCTTCCCTCTCTCTCTCTCCCTCTCTCTCTCTTATACCTCTCCCGCAACCCCGCATGACAGACGCAAGGCGAAAGCAGACGTGCATTCCCTTCCCATGTCTGGCCGAGATAACGTTCCCTATTAGCCAAGGCGCCCCATGTATATGCAACCATCGCCTTCGCTATTGTTCCTGATCCTGCAATCAAGGAGGCATTATAGTTGAATTAAATTGATTAGAGAGAGACTAAGGTAGGTTGCGTGGGGAGGTGGGGTGGGGGGGAGAGGAGGGGAGGTAGAGGAGAGGAGGGAGGTAGGGGGAAATAGGGGGAGGGTAGAGGGCAGAGGAAGAGGATTGAAGGAGAGGAGGAGGGTAGGGGATAGGATAAGGAATAAGAGAATAGGATGAGAAGTATAGGGTGATAGGATAGGGAATAGGGGGATAGGAAGATAGGATAAGCAACATGGGGGTAGAGAGACGGTGGATGAAAGGAGGAGAAAGGGAGGAGAGGCGGATCAAGAAAGCAGGAGAAAGTGAAGAGAAGATTACTAAGGATTTCCTCTCGTATTCCCCATCTCCCTGGCATCGCGGGAGCCAGGTGAATCTATCCCTTAATTCAAGTGTTTGTTAATCTCTCATCTTCCATGCTCATTTCGCCACGTGGAGAACTTCAGGGAAAACGAATATCAAAAGGAAGACCAAAAAAAAATAAAAAATAAAAAAATAAAAACTTTTTCTTCGATAACTTAGTATGGTTTTATTGATTAATGCTTTAATTCATATTCTCTCATCTCCCATGTTTTTTTTTCGGCACGTGGGGAACTTCACTGAGAATGGAGATTGAAAGGGAAGAGGAAGAAACAAGAAGAGAAGAAGGAAGAAGGAAAGAAATGATAATAGTAATAATAAGAAAAAACAGAATCAGGAAAAAGAGAGAAAGAAAGAAAGAAAGATAAAAAGATATGATAATAATAATAATCTGCTTTTTCTCCGATATCTTAGCATGATTTTAACAGATATCTTCGTTCACGTGATACAAATTGATCAGTCACGTGATAGAAAAAAGTCAATCCTTTCACCATTTGCAACTATCGCGTTTGTTTCACTGCGAGGAAAAAAAAACGATCTATTGGAATCATGTTGTGACATCGATAGACACACGTTGCTTAGAAAAAAAAAAAATGGTGGAAACAAAGAAAGAAAGAAACAACAACAACACAAAAATAAAGTAAGTCGGTGGATTATAACCGTTGCTTCAAAACGTGAAGATGTTTGTGATTTGATCAAAAGAAGACTTCCTGTGCCTTAAGATGAATTCGATTACCTGACCAGGGAGTAAGAACAGCAAAAAAAAGCAAAAAAAAAACTTTGAGAAACCTTAACATTATCAAAACTCTCTTATCATAAACTCATTATTATTATTATTTTTTCTCTAAACGTAAGAACTTCAAAAGAAAGTCGATATGAACTCGGGGATCAAAATATAAAGAAAAAAAAAAGAGACCAACCAACGAGCATGCAAGGATGAATCCGTTTATGACATCCCTTCAAACTTGTGATATTTTTCTATGCCCTCGTTAAAGGGGAGCGGGAAAAGGGGGGGGGGGCGACACAGCTCCCATCGCCCGGCGGGAAAGGGAGAGGGGAGAAGAAGGGAGAAGAGGGGAGAAGAGGGGAGAAGAGGGGAGAAGAGGGGAAAAGAGGGGAGAAGAGGGGGGAAAAGAGGGGGAAAGGGAAAGAAATAAAAAGGAGAAAAAGGCAAGGATGAAATTTGAGGAAAGGGGAAAGAGGAGGAAGGGGGAGTAATTGATGTTAAAAAAAAAAGCATTAGTTTCAAATTTCGTAAAGTTTTAGAGTTTTCGTTATATATATATATATATATATATATATATATATATATATATATATATATATAAAAATAACCGATGTCATAGGATATTGTGGGAAAAAAAGGGATAAAATGGTCGGTTGTTAAATGCTGTACTGCAGATATTTACGTTGGCGTCGAATCATTTGCAAATTCATTGTGGTTGAAAATTGCGATCCCATTACAGTATTACTATC